CCCAGGACCTTCTTGCTGTGAGGCGTCGGTGCTAACCACTGAGCCGTCGTGCCGCCCCCAACACACATATTGATCAGATGCTGCTGCTGACTGATCCATGTGATGTAAATGTAACATTTTCTACATATAGGTAAAATTAATCACTGCAATAAAATAACTTAGTCTGTTTTTGTCACTTTTACAGTGGATTGCATCAACTGTTACATACAGAAGCGAAGCTTCACCAAAGTGAAACCTAAATCTGTGGATCTGTGTTTGATTAGTCTGGCTGGCTTTCTCAAGGACCAGGATGTGACACAGAAATCTGAATTATGGAACTGAAAGTGAAAGTAGACAAACTGAATTTTTAATAAATCAAAATACAGTTTCAAAGCAAATTAATTCAAATCCAAAACTTTAAATTCAGTTTCAATTTAGTGAAATTTATTTTCAAACCAATGCATTCTATTTCAAATTATGCACATTCAGATTCAATCGGAGCGATTCAAATTCAATTCCTGCTGGCACAAGATTTATCCCATACCATTTTCACAATATAAACATGCAGAATCATACGTTTGCTGTTTCTCACCATATAGAAACTGGGAACACTGGATGAAGCCCTCCTCCATTTCCTCACATTTATCTGCAGCGGTTTCCACGTCACTTATGGTGGTTGCAAAAATGGCAGCTCCCGACTCCACCAGCAGTTTGCAGAGATGAACGCTGTTGCAGGAGGCGGCGCAGTGAAGCGGGGTCCTGCTCAAACACAAGAGCAGACAGTCAGTGGAAACTGAAACAAGGTGTCGCCCAGCGCTCGCGTCGCCTTCCGCTCACCATCCGTCGCTGTCGGCAGCGTTGACGTTCACGCCGAAATCCAGCAGGAACTTGACGATGTGGTGGTGTCCCGCGCAGACGGCGTTGTGCAGCGGTGTGATGCCCTCATCGTTGGGAGTGCTGGGGTTCTCCACCTGGAAAAATCATTTTGAACAACACAACGGGCTGATGAGCGACTGCACTTCATGCAAACATAAAGCCTACAAACAGAAGGTGACAAACCTCGTAGATGATCCTCTGAACCAAATCAAACTCCCCCTCCAACGAGGCGTCGAGCAGCAACGCTAAAGGATTAAACTTCACTCTGAAGCTGTGACCGATGCGCTCAGAGTTGGGCTTCTTCAGGTTTGTACGCTTCTCCTTTAAAAACAAAGTGAATCACTTATTTGTTGAAATTCAAAGGTTTTCAAAACAAAGACATTTCTGTGCTTCCTACCAGCAGCTGTGAACCTGCTGTGCCGCTCTCCTCGGGGGTGCTGACCTCCAGGACAGGGCTGGGTAAAGATGCATCATAACCTCCCAAATTATTGTTGTTGTCATCTTCTGGTTCCTCGTCTTCAGAAGGATCTATGGGTTCTTCAGGCGACGAGAGCACTGGCTCGTTGTCGTTAGGGTCTGTGGTGGTGGGCGGAGCCTCAGAGCCCGGTTCGGCCTCCCCTGGTGCTGGTGCCAGCGGTGTCTCAGAGAGTAGGTTGCCATTGTCTGTGTCAGCCAGAGGATCACCTCCCAGATATCCTGGAGGATGAGCCGGTTGATAAAAGGGCGTTCCATTGCCTGCGCCATTACTTCCTCCTGATCCGCTGACAACACTCCCCTCTATGCTCCCTGCTAGACTGTTGAACCGCTGGTACAGTAGTTTCTGGATGTTAGGCCCACTGGGACCCTCGGGTTCTGTGATGGAACTGCGCTTCTTGAGCGGCCTCGGAGCGTTGGCCAGCTTTTTGCGAAGCACTTCGAGGTCCGCGTCGCTTTGGTAGCGCAGCGGGGAGTGCACCATGGGCATTAGCTTTGTGGGACTGAGCGGTCGCAGGATATTCTCCACACTGGGAGGAGGCGCCGATGGCTCCAGGTGCTGGAAGCTCTCAAGGTCATCGAGTTCTCCGTCTAAAGTGTCCTCGCCGCCGGGTTGGCCTTGAAACACGGGGAAGACTCCACCTGCCTGGATGAAGGGCAGGGGAGAGGGCGGAGTCGAGCTGGAGGACAGAACAGGCTTCCCATAAACTGCAAGTAAACAGAAAATGTGCAACTTTGTCAGTTCATTCATCATTTATTTGATTTTTTTTTGCTCATTTCACTGATGTTTTCCTGTTTTTTTTTTTTGTAATTTACCAACCTTGTGCTATTTTAGACATTCAAATAACAAAATATTCAGCTCATTTAGGAGATGGGTGCTATGATTCAGGCTTTTGTACTTTTCAAAATATTCAAGTTTACAATAGTTCCTCCCAGAAAATACATTAATTTCAATATATATATTTTTAATATGTACATTTGCTCTATATTTGTCTTCTTGTGCTACCTGTAGCTTCAAAGTAGATATATCATGCTTTTAAATCCATTTAAATCATCATAGAAAATTACCATTTTGAGACTTTTAGCATGTTTTTTGCTGCTTTTAGCTTTAATCTAGCATTTATTTTTAGCTTTTCTCAAGCGTTCTGCTTCTTTTAGCTACTTGTCTGCTTCCATTAGCTTTTAGCAAATGTTAGCCTCTTTCAGCTTTAACAAGTCCATTTCAGTTTCTTGAGCAAATTTCAGCAAAGTCAATAAGCTCTCAAATTACCTTTACACACAAAACTCCATTTGTTTGGTTAAATTTAATTTTATAATTTTTCAAAGCTCTTACCTGCTTTGAGAGCAGGCTTTAGGGGTTGGCTCTTTGGAGCCGCATGCTGGAGGTACATGTGATAAATGGAGCTGGAGTTCACAGTCGGGGGTCCCTTACGGGGCGACTGAGGCCGTGATCCTCTGTCTGGGATGAAGGGGCGCACCGCCACAGCTGGCGGAGGATCCAGACGCTCACTTAGCCCAGGAGGGAAAAGCGGCGGGTTGGGCTGGAAGGTGGGACTCGGTGGGACTGAAATGCGCTGCTGGATCTGCTGAGAGGACGAGCCTGTGGAGGAGGGGGCGCGGGGCCACGCAGGAGCTGGCGGGTTGGGGAGTGGGCGAGGGGGAGGCACATCTTTGTGGCGCTCCAGGGAGCTGGCTGTGTTGGCAGAGGTGAGGTGGGATCCATATGGCGGCGGCTGTGGTTTGATTATGGCAGGGGAAGATACGGATATTTTAGAATCTAGCACCTGCGAAAAAACAGAAAATCACATTCATAACATGAAAAAGCTGCAATACACAAATAAACTCCGTTTCCTCAACTATTCATTAAGAAACATTACGTCTATTTATTTGTATTCATGAAAATGTTTGAATAAAAAGAGGAAATACAAAATGATGATTATACAGTATTAGAGCAATTTAGGAAAGAGAAAACTTACCTTTTCTGTATTTGGAGTGACTGGGGAACCTGAGGGAGGGCTTTTGCCCTGACTATCAATCCCTGAGTCTCGTCTCTCAGGAGGCTTTAGAGTCGTGCTGCTCTTCCCTACAGCAGGCCAACCAGTATCATTAGCTGGAGGGAAAAAAAATAAATTAATTTGTTGCAAATTTGACAAACCCACTGCAGTGACAAAAAATGTTTGGTCTCAATAACATTTCTTTTTGCCTTCTATATTTAAACTGTATGAAATGTATCCACTTTTATTTACCACAACATTGAGTATTATTAAAAGCATTTAAACAACAATATGTTAGAAATTAAATGATGGACTCAGGATTTTAAAACATTTATCCTATTAATCAGGTGCCATATTCAGAAACTGCTAGTTGATGTGAATGTTTTTAAATTTAGAAACAGAAAATAATCAACCCACAGCACAGCAGTAATGCTACCATATTTTCAGCAAAGTAGTTTTTGTGTCCTGTTTGTTTTATAACTCTGATAAATTGATACGTATTGATCAAAGGATGAGAAATTTGTATGTTTATTTAGTTATTTATTTATTTTTTACTGTGAAGATGTTACAAATTATTGCCTTTACATTTCCTTAAAGCAATTTGGACAGATAATTATTAAATACAAACTACAGGAAATACTTTACTGAGGCAGTACTTATCAATAGGACAAAAATCCAGAGTCTCAGCTTCACAGCAATTGTGGCAATGAGCATGTATGTATTAGTATTCAACTTCTGTTGTTGTACTGAATGATGGACTCAGGAAGACAACAAATACTGCTTTAGATGTTAGGAAATAAAATTCATAAAAAAATGTAGACTGTGTGGATAAAGTGAAAAGGAAAGATGAAAAAAGGGAAAACAGAAAAAAATGCAAGACAAAGTAGAAGCTTTAGGATTGTAATGTTGGTGACTCAACATGGATATTATCACACATTAACAGATCTTTTATGCCACTCTTAAACCAATTGGAGGTTGTCTTTATTACCAACAATCACAGCGGCCATGAAAGAGAACCAATGTGCGATATCAGGACTTTGGAACTTCCTCTAATCCACATTACTTTTACTTATTTTCATTATAAAAATAGACCTGTGTTTAACTGATTAAAATCTGTTCCTTTCTGCACAAAATCGTTGGTTATAAATTTAATTTCTTAAATTAATCTTTTATGCACAAGTAAATCCCTTGTGCATGGAAGAGTTTAGCGCTAACAAACGTGCATAATGCTCCCATCTTTAGCAGTGAGAATGAAATGAGATCGTTAGGGTAACACTGAATGTTATGAAGTTTAAAACAAAGCCTGACTGCTTTTCATGTGTAACTTCATGAAGCGCTCAACTCTTCGAACCTTCTCAAACGTGTTAGAAACACACACAGGATCAGCAGTGCTTTGCCTGTTTTACACCAGGCCAACTGCAACTAAAAACACACACATTTCTGCAGACTGTAGCAAAGTGTTTTAGCATGGCAGCATTTTAAAATGAACCAAACAAGATCACGCAAAAAAGATGGCCAGAATGGAATGACAACATGGACTTCATCCAATTAATAAAATGTGAAAGCAGCAATAGTTGATTTCTGATTCTTGAATTTAATACTGAAAATCACTGTTGTATCAATTTAGCTGAATATAAATACAGAAGAATGGGGTTTAGGGTGTTAATGGTACTTTTTATATTACAGAGTTGTTGATTGGGAGTAAACACTAATGCATCCTGAGGATCCTGTGCTGAGAGACCAGGTTCAGCAGTTGCAATCCCCATTTGCTTATGCAGCACTTTGCACTCACGAGACGTGCCGTCTGAGCCACTGGAGGCTCCAGGGTGAGATTCTGGAAGGGACGGGGGTACCGGGTCCACAACGATGTCTAAATCAGACACTTTCCAAGGGCCAGGAGGCTTTCGCACACCGTCTGCCCAGGGGAAGAGAAGCCCCCCGCCGATCCCACCCCACCCGCATTGAAACAGAGACAATACAAAAACAGGTGACAGACCAGGGGAGACAGGAAAGGGAAACACAGTTCACACAACACAGGAAGAGAGTCAGGTTAAAGAGGAAAGAAAAAAGAAATCACAGAAACTAAGTCAAACTAACAGAGTTCAGGTAAGGAGGAAACTGTTCTGGCACAGAAGGAAAAAGCAGCAAAATGTTTTGTGCAGGATGTGCTGAATGTTAACTAATGCATAGGGCTGGGCGATAAAGCAATAACGATATATATCGAAATAAACACATGATCAATATAAATAGAAAATACAGCCAATAAAATGTTGATAATTTGACTGAACTCCAACAAACAACAAATTTTGCTGGACGATAAACTGTCAGAAATTATTGTGAAGAATGGTTTGGAGACCATTTTAAATTAACATAATGATACCACTGCCTCTACGCTAAGGAGTGGTAAAGAGGTAAACACAAAAACAAACAAGCAGGCCAATAAAAATTGTTGACCTCATTTGAATTTATCATGCGATTAATTGATTTATTGCCTATCGCGACAGGCCTGTCCTGTAGGCAGAGGAAAAGGCTTTAACTGCTCAACCTCTCACGGCCCAGCTAAGCAAGGTTGGTGGCATCAACTAATTACCCACTCTTTGGTAAGCTAGCAACAACCTGTTGTAACATAAGCAGTAGAAGTGTCAAGTTTCACCACCGTGGCTCAGAACTGCTTAAAAAAACGACTTGGAGTGAAAGGAGAAAATGAGTGCAACTGTTCTGAAAGGATAAAAGAGGAAAGGTCCGTATTAATCAACCTTTTTTCTCCTGGTCCTTATGTCAAATAGGTAAAATAAAAGACCAATCAATGATTATTGATATCGATATGAAATGCTTACATGGTGATTTTTTTTTTTCAGCCATATCACCCAGCCCTCGTTCATACTGGATAAACGAAGACGTCTTTATTCAAAAATCATACATTGAACATTGATATGACACTGAAACTCATTTCCCTTCAAATGTGTATTTTGGTTGTGAAAGAAACACATTTGATGCATTTTAAGTTTTAATTTCAGGCCCAAAACTTTTACATAAAACATTAAGCTTGTTAAGTTTTTTACTGTGTCTTCCATTAATATTATTTGTCAAGGATCACATTCAGAAAGACAATAAGCTCCAACTGAGAAGAGATTATAGCTTTTTTTGCGAATTTTCTAATAGAAACTGCAAATGCAGAAGGTCAGCTTGGTTATTATGAAGAAAATATGATCTGGAAACAATATATATGATTTCATAGATTGAAACCAACCTGATTTGGGGCGTCCTTGGTTTGTTTGGTTATTAACACCTAGTGTTTGAGGCTTCAGTGGATCAGGCGGCATGTTGTAGCCTCCATCCTGTCGACTGGGTACAGGAACCTGGATGTAAGGCCCAACAGCAGCAACCCGACCCAGAGTACCAGGAGCTGGTTGAGGAGAGGGAGGCCCATTGGCTCTATTTAGCTGTAAAACAAATGACTAATGTTTAAAAAAAAGCTTTATAGGAAATCTTAGATTAAGTGACCCAACAGACTTGGAAAGCTAAAAATTTAGACCAAAAACTCTTAAATAATTTGAACCAAAAACAATACAAGAGAAGTATGAGTTAAGTGCTCCTAATCTTACAGGAAGATTCTCTTTTTGACGTGCCTCAGCTTTTTTCTTGTAGAGGCGTTCCCGCAGCTCGCTGATGCGCTTGTCCATGAGAGTCACTTCCATGTTGCGCTTGTTCAGAAGCTCCTTCTGCTGCTGCAACTTGCTGTTTTGCTCCTGGTTCAATTTGTTCCGTATCTGAAAAAAAAAAGTTTTTAAATCACAGGCAAAAAAAATGAGATGCACATAACCAATGCCTCTGTCACTAATGTCAAGAATAACATAGGTCTAACAAACAGGATGAGAATATGCTGAGTATTACCTGAAGCTCTTGGTAAAGCTTACGTAGCTCTAAGGCTGCAGCACCAGTTACTTGGCCACCCAGACCAGTCTGTACGCCATTCAGCTTTCCTCTCCTCAGATCTTCCAGCTGCAGACTAAGCTGTTCAACCCTGAGGACCGCCGCCTGTAACTCGGCCTGCTTCTCTTGAAACAAGCCGCTTACTTGTTCAATCTCTGCTGCTGCATGTTACACAAGCAAGAAATCCCATCAGTTCATTCAAAACCCAACAAATACTACCAGAAGATACAAGAAACACCTGCGATGATATGGTTAGTATACAGAAATACTCTTTATATAAAAAAACAGTGGTGGGCACAGTTACACTAAACCACTAATAAACAAAACTAGCTTCTCATTTAGCGAATTAGCTTTTTTTGCTAACTTTATAAACCCGTTAGCGGATCGATTAGCTTTCACTAAATTTGGTTCAGCTAATTTTAAGCTTGCTAAAAATTCACAAGTGTAAAACTTTATGCTTTTTACCTTGAATTAAATAAAAATTATTCCGTCTTATAAGCAACGCTAGACATGGCAGGCACTGTGTGTAGCATGTAGCATCTTAAGCAGCTAAACTTCAAACTAAGAGCGGAAAAAAGGAATAAAATAACTAATATTTAAATAATACAAAAACTAACTATGCATAAAATATGGTAGAGAAAGAATTTGCTACTTGTTGTTTGACTAACTTCAAATGGTGTTTATAAAAATACAAACTCGATCCAAGAAATGTTTTTATTCTAAAGTAAAATAATTGGAATTGACTGATTTGTGGCACATTTAATGAACAAAACCCACTTTACTTCAATTCTTAATTTACAAGCTTTTAATATTTATTTTCACACAATGCATTGACTACTCCTTTGAAAGAGTATTAGAAGCACACAGCAAATAAAAATGTTTTCTTGAGTTATGACCTCAGGGAAAAAAATTGCTGTGTGCTTCTAATACTCTACCATATATTTCAGCCTGAAACTGTTTTTTTTATTATTATTTTATATTATTTTTTATGCTCCGCACTGAGAAACATATTATAAATACAGGGTTTTATGTTCCTATAATCTATAACGGCCCCTCTTTCACTTTTCTTTCTGTTGTGTGTCTCAAAGCAGCTCGTTTTGTTACTGTTCCTTAAAGACGCTTCAAAGCCCCGCCCCCCTCCGGGTTCCAGACTCTGTTTTGAGAGAGGGTTTTACGTTTTCTAGCTTGCAGAAATGTTTTATTTACAATTTAATTAAAAGATGTCAGCAAAAGAAGACTTGTCCATCCAGCCTTACATGTTGGAGCCAGAGTCTGACCCAGAACCAGAGCCTGACCCAGAGCCAGAGGAGAATTAAGAAATGGAAATAGTAGTTGGAAAGCCCAGATCTTATTTGGCAATTCTGTTGCAGATAATTTGACGTAACAGCTCAGAAAACGTCATAGAAAATAGAGAAAACTGAACAGGCTGAAAAATATGAACCAAATAGAATATAAAGATATTTTTCCAGCAACAGGAAGAGACTAAATTCAACTTATCTTCCTCCTAGAGACTCCAAGTCCACAACAAAATTTATTTAACTGCTAAAAAAGTGGATTTTGGATGATATGTCCCCTTTAAATAGTTTTAGGGGAATAAAAATATTTTTTGTAAACGTGAAGTATCAGTTTTCTAAAAATGGGAACATTTTAAAGCATGACTTACACCACACATCTTGCAGCCTATTTATACTCATATTCAGATTATAAAAGTCTATTAAAAGCAATAGTAAGTTGAGTACATATTATAAAGTTTACATACACAGATTGCTGTTGATGACCTTGCTGTAGTCCACCTGGCCTCTCATTGCTCGGATCTTCTTGAGCTTTGCCTCCTGACTCTCTACGCGTTCCTTTAACTTCTGCAGCTTTTCACTCTCCGACACGGTCTGCTGCTGACGCCGCTCCTGCTGCTTCAAATAACGCAAGCGTTGCTCCTGCAGATGGCAACACGCAAAATTTTACATAGAAAAAAGGCAAACGTAAGAAAACAGAGGGCGTTCCTAATCACAAGTTTCATTGAATTCCATCTGTTCAGTACAAATTTTGACAGTCAAATTTTCTATTTGCATGGAGAGTAATCCCAGAAGCCCCAACACCTGAGATCAGAAGACATTTATGAGGAAGTCATGCCTTAAAACTAGGCTAAATTCCTACAAAATGAGACACTGTCAAGTCTGAGGGCTGGAGAAAGGGTCACATGACTTCATCTGGACCCAAGTGAGAACTGCTCCAGTTAGGACCCTAAAATAGGAAATGACAGGCCCGAGTTTCCAAATGACTGCAGGGCTTTCCAGTGACCCTTCGTTTCAGACACCACAACAAAAGGCAATAATTAGTTTTACTATCTGTGGGTCTACAGTAAGCTGCTTCTTGCATAACTGATCAGAAGCTCACAAGCACAGATCAGAGTGAGCTTGGTGAAAAGACACAAGTGACACAGCCATAAACCACTGTGGTCAGTCTATTATCATTTCTTCAATTATATGGAGAAATCTGAAAATGACAGAATCCAGTGAACAGTACAAAAGTATCAGATGGATAAAATCTTAGTTGATATTGTTAAATAATAATGAAGTAAAACTTTAAATGAAAATGATATTTTGTGGGGTGTACGTTGTTAGTGAAAGGATACAATCATTAATGTTTTGACATATTTGAGTGCATTCTGCAAACTGAATCTTTGCATGTGTTCATAAATTAACTAAACCATCAGCAGATAATTCTGATGACTCAAACTGCATACAGTGTCACCTTTGTTACATAACAGGCTGCCGCTATTCAAGGCCAGGAAATTCAATAGTTTCACATCAGAGTTGTCAAATCCTGTGTCCTGATATTCACTGAACCAATGCTCCATCTCTGTCAAAAGTAACTATTTAAGTTGATTTCTTTTCATCTGGGAAACTGAACGAGAGGAAAATATATATATATGAAAAATTCAACTGAGCTCTTAAATTGGCCAAAATTGTGAATAATTTGTCTCACAGCAATGTTTGTTGCATAGAACCTATGATTATGTCCCAAAGTAGTACATGGAGGCTGCTATAGTGCATTGGTTAAAATGTTTGCAACAATGGCATTTTGCCAAAATGTAATGATCTATGGACCATTTGAATAAACTGTCTGAAATATGATCGTAAATCCTTTTTGAAGCACTTTTTTGAGCAGAAGAGCCTTAAATTGAGATTTTCCCTGTGAGCTAGCAACACTTTTTTCCTTTCCAGCTGGAAAATCTTATTTAGAAGTTGTTTGAAGGTTTCCACTTTAAAATGACATCAAAAATTCATCATTAAACTAACCTAAAAATAGGATTCAGACCAAATATCAATGGGCTATCTTAATTAGAAGGACAAATCAATATCTGTATTTGGAACTGTTCATTGTTTCAGGATAATTCTGGTATCAAAATGTAGCTTAAATAGCAGGAATCTGAAAATGTGCTTAAGTTATTTTGACCAAATTTGACTTAATTCTCAGTTTGATGTGATGGGTTACATATGTACCAAATAACTTTGAATAACTTGAGCTTGATTAAAATAGATCTCAATGTCAAAATAAAAATATTAAAAAACACATTAGTTTAAGCAAAGGCAAAGCAAAGCCACATCACTGCAGTGTACCGATTTGTGAAAAGCAGATGACAAAAATAAAATCATGTTTCTTAATAAGATGTGAAGATAAATTATTTTTCAGAGGAGAGTCACGGGAAAATAAAGGAATTCAAGTGTTACCTTTGCAATAAGCATCTGTTGCTGAGCCTCGATTTGTTGCTGCTGTCGTGTGGCCATCTCCTGCAGCTCTGACAGCGTGAGCTCAACTCGCTGATTCCCCACCTACACACACACACACAAACACACACACAAACACACACAAACACACACACACACACACACACACACACACGTCAAAATGTCAAGTTCTGATAAGACAATCTCAATGCCAACACCCACTAAAAAGTTTAAGGATCATGTATTAACAGCGACATGTCATCCTGTTGTTGTTTTTTTTAAACACCAGCAATTGTTACGTTTTACATGCAGAAAAAGAAAGCATAATGTGCAACAGACTCAAATTTGACAGCTTTAATTCCAAAAGTCGTTTGAATTCTGACCAGGCTATGACCCGAGATTCAGTTTCTCCCCTGAAGCTTTTATGTGTAGCATGAGTCATGTTGGTAGATATGACCTTTAAACCAAAGTTGCTGGAACTAAAAGCCGACACTAAATCATTAGTCAGTGTTGTGTATCTTTTGTTTTCTAAAGCCAACACTCTGCTATAAAATAGATATGTCAAAGATAATTGTATTAGTTATTAAGTGAAGCATGATAATATTCTGGGATAGAGCAAAAGCTGAACAATATATTAAAATAAAAGCATCAAAACAAAGAAGTTATGCAAACAAAAATCCACTTGGAAACATTAAAAGATGTCTGACATCTAGAACCTGTGGGTCAAACAGATTGTGCAACACAGTCCCTCTTCCCTTTCTAGAAACAATACTGTGATGAAGAGTCATTTTGCAGAATATCTGAGCCTCTGAGGGGAATTTGACATTTGATGGCATAGGTTTCACATCACATCACATTGAAGAAAACAGTGAACTGCAACAGCAAAGCTCCTACCAGCCAAAGGTCAGTGCAATTACTGAAACATGTAATCTCTAGAGCAATTTTGTCACACAAAATATTTATCTACACAAGATATCTACTCTAATTTATTCGATGCTGTCCGTGAGTCAGGGCTGAACACAGATTACTATATTTAATTAATGGACAGCGGCATTTGTTACATAATGTTTTCCTGAAAAACCTATTGTTGACCTCTAGCAGCAAACATTGTTTAGATGAGTAATTGGAAACTATTTGCTAACAGACTGTATTAGTTGTTTGTCTTCTGACAGTGAGCAAACTCACATGAAAGATTTGCCAATTGTTTTACACGTGATGCCCTTCCCGACACAATCAGGGCTTGAACCTGCAGACTCAGGATTACAAGACCACTGAACAAGACCCAACTGTAGTCAACGAATTTTCCTATCAACTGTGGCACCGAGGGGAAATTTATTATTATTTTGCTAATTTTAAAAAAAGCACATCAGTTGATAACTGGACTAAAATACATATTTTGTTCAATAAATACAACTATTCATAGATTACAAATAACTGCATTACTTTGCTGTTTTCCAATCAACTCAAATGAGCTAAATGTTATAGCTTTAAAATAACCTAAACAACTGAAACGCAGTAAAACTGAAAAAAGGCTCATGCAAATAATAAAAAACAAATAAAAAATTGCTTACCAGAATCCACATAAGATATCTGAAAAACAGCCTGCTGCAGTATAAATTATAGAAGGTTTCCTCCCTCCAGACAGTTGTCTTTTTCCCCACAATTTGGTACCCATATGATGCCCAAGAGCTTACAGAAGAAAAGGTTTATCTGACAACTTTGAGTTTTGTTTTTCTCTACACCAAAGCTCAAACTTTTATACTCCAGCAGAGCACCCCTGAATACAAAAGCATGACTGTTTGGGTGAACCTGCTCATTCAAACAAGATTCCGTGAAATGCTTCAAACAATTCCAGTTTGCCTTTTTGGAGGAATAATCCGAGTGAGGGGGCTGAAGCTGAGCATGACACAAAGTTGCAAAAACATAAAAAAATATGAATATAAAATAATGGTTTAGAAAAATTTGGTTTTACTGGTGAGAAGATTTGCACAATGAAATATAAGCATTAAAGTTTAAGCACTGGAACGAAAAGGTGGAATAAATAATTAAAGACAACACTAAAAGAAAGAACACATGATAACACACCAACTCTTTTTCAGCTTTAACTTTACAGGCTGAAATGATGAGACAGTTTAAAATACAATACTGAATCTAATATTCAATTAAATCAGTTACAAAATTTCCTTCAGAGCTGCATTGTATCCAGAATCGTATTGTATCATGAGCTCTCTATCGAAAATCGTATTGAATCACCTTCTCCTAGGTGATATCCAGCCTTGTTAAGCATTTTGGAAAACCATAATTAATTACTTGAGTGGGCGGCACTGTTGGTGCTGGTTGTTTGTCTCTATGTGGCCCTGTGATGGATTTGGGACCTATTTAAGACATACCCCACCTCTCACACAGTGACGCAGGCACCAAAAACTCAAAAAGTAGAAGAAGGTAGAGGAAAATGGATAGATGAAATATTTTAGCCACCTCATTGACATGTTTAAGTATCTGTAATCTTTTAGACCAAATATAATTTATCAAATACGTTTTTTTCTTGAAATGCCTACCATCATTAGTAGACATTAAAAACGTGATTTATAAATTTAAAATGCATGTAGAAAACCTAGTAATACCCTGACAAAAGGTTTTGTCCAAACAGCAGCATTGCACACTGAATGACCAGTTTTCTTTGGTGGAGAAACAATCTCCAGTGCTGCAGATTGTGGAAAAGGAAAAAGGAAACAGTCCTCCTTGGGGCCATTACATCATCCAACAGGCTGACTGATATAATTCTCTAAATCAGACGTTAGGAAGAAACGCTGACACATAAATGGGCTCTGGCACTTGGGAGGTTATGAAGAGCTGGACGTGCACCTCATTTTCTATGACAGAGAGTTTTTGGTGAGTCATAGCTCTGTAGTCCAAATATTAACATTTATTTAATTATATTTAAATTTTTATGTATCAGCTTAATCATACACAGTGCCTGAAGTGCTGTAAACATAACCAGGTCTCTACTGGTCTTGCACGTCTCTGCCATGTATCAATTTTCTATCTTCTCAACCTGAAATATATGTGACCACATACCATAACAGCTTTGGCTGGGTGAGTGATGAAATGCTGACTGAATGTTTTGGATGCGTTAGTCAGAATCTGAGCATGGAGTATAATCACATTTACCCCGATGCTTCTGAAATTTTCAATAAATCTCAGTGTTCCGGTTTCATTAGCAGCAATAAAAACCCAGGTGTTGACTGATGTGGTGGTGCTTTGGACCCTGAGCTGTTCAAGTTTTCCTCACTTTATCGTTTAAATCACTTTTACATATTTTGTTTCATCAGTCTCTTAATGCTAATTCCCACACAACAAAAACTTTGTCATTAATAAAAAAAATGACCAGGAAAAAACAAACAAAAACTACCTAAAATCCCTTAGGGCTCTGTCACACTATAACATTTTTGCCAACGTATGAGTTTTTTCATCTAAATAACTAATTAAAGTTATATATTTGATCAATTTGTTAGCATTACAGTACACGCCTAAAAGAGGCTACCAATTGATTTTTTAAACTAAATGTTCAACGTCTTTAAAGTTGGCATAAGTTGTCTAAAACATCATGTGACAGGGCCTTTAAAGGTTATGTGCAAAAAAAATGTTACAAACAAATCTCCTAAACGGATGCATTTACCAAAGCACTAAAGAACAACTGGATGAAACTGTCCAAACACTTTCTGTATCTGCTGTGCAAATACTAAATACATCTTAGATTTACTTATCTGAAACAAAACGTACGGTTATGAATATAACCACGGTTCCTTGAAGGAATGGAACGAAGTACAACACACAGTTGTATATGGGACACGTGCGCCCTCGCGCACCTGGCTGAAGCCACCTCTAATCACGTCTTTCGACCAGTGACGTGGTGACGTTGAACGTCTGGTGACAGGCTCCGCCTTCCCCCTATAAGTTCGGAGTCACCAGCGTCATTACTCAGTTAAGATACCGCCCTTCACCGAGCCTTTGTGATGCGGGGCCAACAAGGTGTTGTACTTCGTTCCATTCCTTCAAGGAACCGTGGTTATATTCATAACCCTACAATCCTTTTCAGTCATTTCACTCAGTACAGTACACAGTTGTATATGGGACTTGTCAAAGCGCCCCGCAGAGCAGTATCAATCTTTCAGGGAGGCGTCTGTGGACACCACTTTGTGAAACGACACCCTCCCTATTGGAGAACCCTGATACAGGAGGCCGGGTTCCCTCCAGGGGCTGAGAGCCGTCATGCAGGAAGCAGTTATTGTTAGCTTTTGTGTCTGTGTCGAGACGGACACAGCCTGTGGGACTGAGACCAACGCTGAAAACGGCGCATTTTTAACAGCCCKAGTGGTACTACTGAAATCATGGAAGCCATCTTTCCCAGTAACYGTAGTACGGTTTTGAAGCTCAGTTTGCGTCCCAGTTGAAACTGAGCTAAGCAGCGGTGAAACGCGGCCGCTCTGTTTTCTGAGAGGCGAGCCCTGCTTGACAAGGAGCAGGTTTCTAGTCCGAGGAACGAAATCTGCTGACTTGGTGTTAATAGACTTTTCTGGGTGTTTACTTAAAACCCTAAAGCCTGAATGTGTGACAGAACCTGAGACAGCTGATCTAATGTTTGCTCCTTGGAGCTTGCGATCAGAGCCCAGTTGTCTAAATATGCTAACAGACGGATCCCCCTTTCCCTGAGGGGAGTCAACGCAGCTTCTACGCACTTTGAAAAGGTGCGAGGAGCTAGCGATAAACCGAACGGTAGCACCAGGTACTCGTAGGCTACACCCTCAAAGGCGAACCTGAGATATTTTCTGTGCTCCGGGTGAATCGCTATGTGAAAATAGGCGTCTGTTAAATCGATGGTCGCAAAACAATCGTCTGGGCTGATCGAGTGAATTAGCTGTTTGAGCGTTAACATTTTGAACCTGAATGTTTGAAGGTACCGGTTTAACACTCTCAGATCCAAAATATGCCGCAGGCCACCCACTTTCTTCGGAACAAGAAAATAACGGCTGTACAGACACCTTTTTGTGTTTCTGCAGCTGGAACCACTCGAATAGCTCTCTTTGTTAGCAACGTGCAAATTTCCTCTCTTAAAATGGCGGCTGCCTCGTTTGTCACCACTGTGTTTACAATGGCCAGAACGTGAGGCGGCCTGACGCGGAACTGCAACCCATAGCAACAGTTCTTTGTACCCATGGAGAGGGTGCGCATGCGCGCCAGAGAGGGAGTCACGTTGCTAAGCGACTGACTTGCCTTACTGTTGAGACGTGCTGCTGCTGCCCTCCACTGGATGGGGAAGGGACAACATTATTGACTGTCGCCCGCAGCTTATTGTGTTCGTCTGTGCACAAAGATAATTCTTTAATGACACATTGAAAACATTTGCAGAACTGTTTATTAAAGTTTTGCATTTTAAAAACACAATTTGCACACAAGGAGGGGGCTACATGCTTTTTGTTTATTTTTCGGGACATTAACAGAGGAGACTGAACATTTGAAACCCGACGTCTCTTGGGGACGTTTTCTGAAACACAAACTTTTAAATGTCTTTTCAACTGCAGCTGAACATTGTCTCTCTGTTTTTGAAGTCCCTGTGAAGACAGTCCTGCTGTTAGGAGGACTTTGACTTCTTTTTCTGAGCCGCTGCACTGTCCTGCTGACTCGGAGGGTGGCCTTTGCTCCATGCTGATTGACGGGGAGGCTGCGGCTTGCTGGAAGGTTCGGCGGGCTGGGCCTTTGAAGTCCCGGGCGTCGCAGCCTTCTTGAACGGAGGAGGATGAGACGCAGACCTGGATGTGCTCGGGGCCTTGGGCCTCGCTTCGTGTCTGGGGATGATGCAGCAAAGTGCCTCAGCCTGCTTCTTCCTCTGTTCAAATTTGGTTTGGATGACGTCAAGCGCTTGACCAAACAGTCCTGTAGGCGTTATCGTTTCATCCAAGTAGGCCGCTCTGTCCTTGTCGGGAATGTCTGAGAGCATTAGCCACAGGTGCCTCTGCGCCACCACAGTAGAAGCCATTCCTTTCCCCAGAGCCAGCGCTGCACAACAGGACACACGCAAAATGTGATCTGACGCCAGTCTGATCTCGTTCAGCAGGGGTAAAAGGGGGTTTTCCTGTGGCATCTGAGCTGCCAGTTCAGCCAAGGCCATGGCCTGGTAGGTCTGAAGCATGGTGACGGAGCTCAGCGCACGGGCGGTGTTACCTTGGGCTTTGTAGATTTTCTCCAGCTGTGCCAAAGAGAATCTGCAGGGCTTGGAAGGGAGCAGGGTGGGCCTGCTCACACCCTGGTTATGAGACGGAGCCAAATAAGCAGCTAAAGAAGGCTCCATCGGAGGGATGCCCACCAGGCCTGCTTGGTCTGCCCCTTCCACGTCCAAGTACTGACCCTGTCCGGGCACGAAGGTGCGGATGGACAGTGGTTTGCTCCAGGAAGACATCAGCTCCGACACAAAGTCCGGAAACATAGGCAGACGTGCTTCACATCAGCCGGTTCAGACGGGAGATAAAACCCTGCGAACCTCGACGGCTTTTGAGCAGGTGGGGGGTCGGGCCACTGTAACTCCAGTTTAGCAGCAGCTCGGCGGCACAGGGACAAGAAGGACGAATCCTGGTCCACCCTCTCAGCAGCGGGGGTGGAGTGAGCTGGGCACGGCTCCTCGTCGTCTTCGGACAGACTGAGAACCTCCTGCTCCATCTGCAGAACATCGTCCTCCTCTTGGTTTAGATCCAGTAGAAACTGGGTCTCGCCCCCCTCGATGTCGGGTGAGGCCGCCTTGTGCTCCATCWGGTCCGCCCAGCTAGCAGYGGGGSCTTCGACCGCCGAATCCTCGTCTTCGTCGGACTGAGCCGTCTGGCTGGATTCGGAGAGCAGCGAGTCTTGTCGGAAAACAGCAGTTTCCCCCAGCGTTTTCTCCAGGAATTTTACTCTCCTCTC